GTTGGCGTTGCGGCGTGCGTGGTCGTTGTGGGCACTCGTGGATGGTGGTGGGTTCGTCGCGTTGTCGTCGTTGTGACGTGGCGTTGCGGCATTTGCGTGGTCGTCATGGTGGGCGCTCATGGATGGTGGTGGGTGCTCGTGGATCGTGGTGGTGTTGTTGTTGTCGTCCGTTTGGCTGCCACGTCGCTGGCGGTGGTTGTTGCCGTTCGTTGCTGGGTGGTCGTCGCCATTGTGGAGTCGTCGTTGTCGTGGGTTGGCGTGGCGTTGTCGGTTTATTGTGGCTGTCGTGGGGGTGGGGAAGAGGATGGTTGATCACTTCAGTCACCCATTTTTGGGTACCTATGAGGTACATCAATTCCTTGATTTAAGGTACCTTGGGGGTACCCATTCCGGGGTGGTATATGAGCTCCATACCAATACCATGGTACCATGGAATGGAAAACCCATACCATACCCCACTCATACCAATACCATGTTACCATACCATACCAATACCATGTCACCATACCATACCAGATGGTATGATGTCACTTCATACCATCATACCAAAGCTGACATAGGGTGTCTGGGGTCCTTTTCCAAAATATATAAATTATTTCTGCAGGCTGCAATACTGGTCCATTGGGTGCCATTTTTTGTGGGGTGGTTCTCCAGGTTTTTCCTGAGATATTAGGCTACAAATTGAGGCCAGATAGTCCAAACCATTTGTTGAAAATGAGTTTAAATAGGCTTTATCCCAGCTTTCCCATGCATCCAAAGCCATTTAATGATACATATCTTTCCCAATCCTTTCTATTAAAACAATATTCATCCAAATCAAACAAAACCACATCTATTGTGATGAAGTGGTCATAGAGAAGAAAAGAAAAGTGAAAAGGCTTTCAGGTTTTTGCTAAGATTTCCAATTCCAAGTGGAGGCCAGATAGTGAACTCCAACCTTTAAAAATCAGTTCAATTGAGGGTTTTTTCATTCCTGAAAAGCCATTAATATGAATGCTTTCAATAATAGGTTAAATATATTTTGCCCAGTAGGGCCAATCAGACAGTCCTGCCCACTTACATAGCATACACATATAGTATGGCCAACAACACCATCATATAATCTCAATTTTCTTAAACACTACATATGTTGGAATTAAGTATTGTTGTCCTGAGTGTTTGGCCAAAGTCTTCTTTCTCATAATAGTTGGTCCAATTTATTGAAGCTAAGTGAATCTGTCCAATCCAAAGTCTTGTCAGAGTCTCCATTATCAAAATATTATACCATGGTATTGTAATCCCATGTTGCACTCTCATACCATACCATACCATAGTATTGCACTCCCATAACATACCATACCATGGTTTTACAATCCCATCCCATCCCATCCCATCCCATCCCATACCATACCATGGTATTGTAATTCCATCCCATCCCATACCTACCATACCATGGGCAGGACTGTCTGATTGGCCCTACTGGGCAAAATATATTTAACCTATTATTGAAAGCATTCATATTAATGGCTTTTCAGGAATGAAAAAACCCTCAATTGAACTGATTTTTAAAGGTTGGAGTTCACTATCTGGCCTCCACTTGGAATTGGAAATCTTAGCAAAAACCTGAAAGCCTTTTCACTTTTCTTTTCTTCTCTATGACCACTTCATCACAATAGATGTGGTTTTGTTTGATTTGGATGAATATTGTTTTAATAGAAAGGATTGGGAAAGATATGTATCATTAAATGGCTTTGGATGCATGGGAAAGCTGGGATAAAGCCTATTTAAACTCATTTTCAACAAATGGTTTGGACTATCTGGCCTCAATTTGTAGCCTAATATCTCAGGAAAAACCTGGAGAACCACCCCACAAAAAATGGCACCCAATGGACCAGTATTGCAGCCTGCAGAAATAATTTATATATTTTGGAAAAGGACCCCAGACACCCTATGTCAGCTTTGGTATGATGGTATGAAGTGACATCATACCATCTGGTATGGTATGGTGACATGGTATTGGTATGGTATGGTAACATGGTATTGGTATGAGTGGGGTATG